ACAGCGGTACCTCGGTTAACCAGTTTAATTCATTCCATGATTCTGGGGAAGATACCAGTATCTGTGTTTGTGCAGGGAAGATGGCCACAATTGTGTTTGTCATCCAATGCAGAGTTCACAAATTTAAGAAATATTTTGCTGAACACTTCTGTTTGTGAAATGATGTATTACTGTAGCTTAGACTGGGTAACTCATACATTGTAGAAATTGGGTTAGAATGTAGATCAGTGTTAGAGCATTGCATAGCATGTGCAAGGTCTTGGATTCTATTCCCAGCACTGCATCAGATAAATAATAATAATTTATCAACAGTTCTTAGCCGGGCATAGTGGCGCACGCCTGTTATTCCAGCACTCGGGAGGCTGAGGCAGGAGGATCACCACGAGATGAGCCTGGGCTACAAAGTGAGCTCAAGGCCAGCCTGGACTGCATAGCAAGACCCTGTCTCCAAAATGACAAAAAAAAAAAAAAAAAAAAAACCAGTTCTGGAAGTTGGGAAGCCCAAGCCCAGTGTCTGGTGAGGGCTACTATCTCCTCCATAAATGGTGCCTGGTCGCTACCTCTTCATGTAGCAGAAGGGATGGAAGGAAGTGTGTAAACCTACTCCTTCAGTTCCTTTCTAGGAACACTAATCCCATCCATGAGGGCAGAACTCTCATGACCTAATCACCTCTTAAGAACATCCCCTTGGGGATTAGTTCCAACACATGAATTTTGGAGGGACATTAGCATTCAGTCCATAGTGGGTAGAGAGAGGGAAAAAGAATGAGTATGAAATTACTGGACTGGGGATTTAGCTCAGTGGCATAGCGCCTGCTTGACAAACGCCAGGTCGTGAGTTCAATTCCTGGTACCAGAAGAAAAAAAAAAGAAATTACAAAGAGAGGTTTAGGACCAATTGTCAAAGGCTTTTAAGTTTTATTTATTTGTTTATTTATATATTTTTATGTACTTGTTTGTTTATTTTTACCCCACCATGGAAGTTGAACTCTGTGGATGTTTTAAGGCACCCAGTGACATGATCACTTAGGAGGGTCCTATGACAGCCACTTGGAGGATGGAAGAGCAGGATGTAACTGCTTTGAGACTAGTTAAAGAAGCTGTGAACTGTCCAGTCAATTACAAAATAAGGTCCATCGGAGCTGGGCGTGGTGGCACATGACTGTAATCCCAGCACTTGGGAGGCTGAGGCAGGAGGATTGTTGTGCGTTCGAGACCAGCCTGGGCTGCAAAGTGAGCTCAAGGCCAGCCTTAACTGCATAGGGAGACCCTGTCTCAAAAAGACAAAACCAAAACCAAAACCAAAAACAAAAAAACCAGAATAGGGTCCATGTAGAAAGCATGGGCTTAATTTGAGAGAGATTAGGAAGAAGAACCAACAGTATTTGTTTTTCTGTTTTGTTTTGTTTTTTTGTTTTTTTTTTTTTTGGGTACTGGGAATCGAACTCATGACCTCTTTTTTGCCAAGCAGGTGCTGTGCTGCTGAGCTAAATCCCTAACCCCTAGAACCAACAGTATTTACCTTACCTTTTTGTGGCAACTGCCCCTTGCTTTGAGGATATCACCTTTTGCACTTTTATCCCTCTTACTTGCTCTGGCTTGGGTGTTGAGTGTCCCCTAAAAGTCCATATCTAACAGTTTGCCCCCAGGATGGTGGTATTTGGAAGTGCTGTGGACCTTTCAGAGGTGGGACACAGCAGGAAGTGCTTAGGTGATGGAGGGTGTGCCCTCAAAGGGGACTATGGGACCCCAGCCTTTCACATTCTCTCTACTATAGTTCAAAACACGAACATGTGTTTCCATGGGCACTCCTGCCATCTTCCCCCGACACCACCAGAGGCCAAATGGGATCTGCCAAGCTTCACCTTGGAACCTCCAAAACTGTGAGCTAAATAAACATTTTCACCTTAGAAGTTAGCTGTTCTGTCATTGTAGTGATGTAAAACTGCCTAACTCAATGCTTTAGGCTCCTGGCTCCCAGGGTAGGACCTGTAATCTTGGCTAAGTCATTAGTCCACTCCATCCTTCAAACCACATTTTCTGAAGGAGCATACAACTCCTGTCAGGACCTCAAGACCCATCCTGAGTAATTTGATAAGCTAACCGTTTCCATCTGGACCACATGTCGTGATGAGGGGATTCAAGCTATCCGGAGACACCATGGACTCTGGATGGAGCCAACCCAGGGAAAGTAGAGCCTATAGATGGATCCTGATAACAACTTCTGAGCCTCAAATCACGACATACCCTAACCAGCTATGTTTGTGGACTTGTAAAGAGCCAATGAACCACTTATTAATTAATTAATTGTCTAAGCCAGTTTGAGTTTTCTGTGTAAATTTGTTCTGAATTAAGAGTATTCACAGTGTTCCTAATAATTAGCACTGAGAACAAAAAACAGATTTGAAGTTTACTGCTATTGAGTGGTCTTATGGTTAAAAGCAAGGACAAAAATATGTCCTTAAGCACCATTGGGCCCCTCTTAGAGAGGGACAGTGTTATCGTTTGTATTTGAATGTCCTCTCAAAGCCTCATGCAGTCATGGGGCAGGCTTCTAGAGTTTAGGATTGATTCATGATCCAATGTTGAAATTATAGGTGTGAGTGCTACAACCACCCTGGGGTGGATAGTTTGCATACAGTGTAAGGGAGGGAAAGATGCTGCTTTCTGCCGCTGCCTTTCCCTTTACTCTTGTTGGTTTTGCTATTTTCTAGGCCCTGAACTGTAGCCCTCTGCCATGTGCCACCCTGCCTTGGAGCCAGCCAAGCATAGACTGAAACCTCCACAGACTGTGAGCTAAATAAACCTTTCCTTCCTTAATTTTGGGCATCAGGTATTTTATCTCGTCAACGAGAGAAAAGTAAGACACAGAGACATAGTTTTCTAATTTGCCAAGCTAAAGAATGTAACAAGTCAGAGATCCTTAAAGGGGTAGCCCAGACTCATGACTCCTATCTTTGGGATTTTTCAGATTTCACAGAGCAGTGAAACTTCAAAGAAAATCTCAGGGTACAAACTAAAATTGCTAAGTTGTAACTTGTTACATAGACACTTAAAAAAAAGAAGATCCACTATTTTCTATCATCTCCACAATATCATAAAGAAATAGAGAAAGAGAGGCAGACAGCAAGGGGGAGAGGAATGACTTCAGAATGAATATCTGCCCTTTGAAATAAGTACATCTGGTATTGTGAAATATTTATTATATTGTACTCACTTTTCTCACTCTGTCTCAGACATGTGAAAACTATTTACTTGCAACACTGATCATCTAATTAACCAACTGGAGAATCCTGTGGCCCTGAGCAGAGTGTCCCCATTCCTGGGTTCCTCCACCTCTCTGGGACAGGGGACGGCCGGACAGCACAGGGACCTAGGGGGGCCCACAAGGCAGAATGAGGAGTCTGAGAACAGTAGGCAGACCAAAGTTCCTAGAGAAAGATTTCTCTGGGAAGGGAAGACCTGGCCAGGACGCTAGGCAGGGAACAAGGGAACCTGGGCAGCCTTGAGGAAGGCTCTCTCCTGGTGGTTCTTTCCCAGTCCTTGGCCTGAGTAAGGCCCCCAGAGCACTGAGACAAGGTGCTGGAAGACTCCAGACTGTGAGTGGAAGCAACCCAGCGGGCTAGCAGCAGCAGCCTTCCAGGGGACTCAGTGTGAACCGAGCACAGGGCTGGGGTGAGAATGTACACATAGCCACCCTGGAGGGTCCCTGTGCTTCAAGAAACAGTAGCTCGTTCAGGATTGCGGGGTGGGCAAAGTTGTTAGCATGAGTGTGACTTGCTGGGATTCTTTACTCAGTCCCTCCCCCTATCAAGCTGGGCTGGTAGAAGGGCGCCTTTGACAAGTCAGACTCTGCTAAAACAAATGCACACTGGAGTTGTCAGTCAGAATCAGAAAGTGCTCTCAAGTTTCAGTATGATGGACTGAACATTCCAGCCCTGTCCCTATACACACCCACCCACACACATGCAGAGTGGGAAAGGGGAGAGAGACAGAGAGACAGACACTGGATGGAATCAATCAGCCTAGAGCCAAGGAACCTGGGGCTGCACAGAGGATATGATGGAGGGAATAATGAGAATCATGACACAAGCAGGAGGGCAGCCAGAGAAAGCGGCTCCCTGATGCCCAATTCTGGAGGCAGAATGGACAGATAGGGAACAAATGGGAAAAGAAAAGGACTGCTTGGCCCCGTGCCCTGCACTCCCAGTGTGCACGCTGAGTGTGCACAAATTCACAAAAGACCACACATTTCCCCAGCAGTGGGCTGTCTTTCCACCCTTCTGATGTCAAGTACTGGGTTAAGGGGCTATGTAAAGATACACAGGGATGTCGAAGGAGCCGAAGATTTCAAGAGCCAGAGCCCCAGTTCAGTAAGGCCTCACAGAGTCTACTTCAAGAGCCAACAATGGATTCAAAACAGTCCTGGGACCCTCAGCAAACTGAAATTTCACATCTTCACTCTGGTGATCTGAACTCAAGAGGTCAACACCCTTCTGACCTTGTCGACTTCCTTCTCATACTACCAGTTCATATGCCTGTCCCATCTCATCCAAACTCCGAAGGGACCCCAGTAAGGAATCGGCCAGGTCTGAACACTTGTCTCAGTGGGGCTCCAAAGAACACAGACTTTGGCTAGGCTAAGAATCCCCTGTCCTTGAGCCAGGTGTCCATCTGCAGTGGCAGAGGATGGCAGGAGAGTGGGCTCATGGTCACCTTGAATGGTGACACTGAATGCGATAATTTTTTTGTGTGGCAGGGTGAGCAGCCTGATTGACATGTCAAGGTCTCCTTGCAGGAGACAAATTCTGCCTCCAGAGTAGCTATCCAAAAAGCCAGGGACACATCTGCTGTTTCCCAACAAATATACACCCACTTACGACTCAGGGGCCCCAGATCTCTGAGGTCAGATGCAACAGAGTAACCCAAAATCCCACAATCCCATAGCTTCCAGGGCCTCACACCTTTGCTATGCCATATCACAGAAGCCCGAGAATGCATGCCAAGTTGTATGCACTGTGTTCTTTATTGTCATGTGGTACCCATGGGACACGAGTGGAATGGGGAGCCCTGAGGCAGAGAAGTTGAAGGTGGAGTAAGAACCACCAGTTTTCCACACTCTTCCTTCCTCCCAGCTGACGATGGTGGGTGCTTGGCAGGACCCATAAGGAAGCAGGACCCATTTAGATACAAGCACAATGTTGTGTGAGAAGGTTGGGCACCGTCTCATACTTGAAAGAGTAGCCTCCATCTGAGGTGGTGCGGACGTGTAGGGGCCTCATGGTTCCCAGGAGAGCAGCACAGCAAGGCTGAGCCCCTGGCACCAGAGTAAGGGGCTGGACGGAGGTAGGGGGCACTCCAGGGACTGGCTGGAGCAGGTCTGGTGGAGTGGGCAGCCCACAGCCACCGTGACAATAGTGGAAGATGAAACTGGGAGGGTGTACGATCCACCGGTCCCAGCCCAGCTCCTGGAAGGAGATGTTGAGTGCAGCTCTGTGGCAGTAAGCGTGGGCAGCGGGCTCCTCTGGAGGCCTCTGCAGCAGGCGCAGGGCAGCAGGAGACCAAGGCCAGGGCATTGGGGGAGTTGAACGCCGGGATCTCTCTCCACCAGTGGATGGTCTGGCCCGAGTGTGGGCCATGAGGAAGGGCGTGGTCTCAGGCCGGGCAGAGCAGGAACAGAGTGGACAGCGCAGCAATAGCACCAGGACAGGGTGGGTCAGCAAAGGGAGAGCAGAGGCGGCCAGCCGTAGCACTGCCCAACGAGGGGGAGCCTGGCCCAAGGACATAGGCACAGCCACGGGACCCCCAGACGACAGCACCAGCAGGTCTAGCAGGGGCCTGGAGCTATTGGAGGGTGCTAAGGCCTTCCTGTCAAGCCCGGTGTGGAACCACAGCTGTGCTGAAATCACCTGGCGGCTGCGCAAGTGCTCAGATGGCCGGAACATATACGTGAAGAGACCCTCCTCGGCCTCCTGGGCCAGCCCTCCAGCAGCTGCCTCGTCCTCACAGCTGGCACCTGCAGGGGACAGAAGGGAAATGAGAGGCAGTCCCGACTGGTGGGACCCAAGAGCACCCACCTCAACAGGAGGGATGTGGCTGGCACTCAGGGCTAAGGATGTGCCACACCTCTGTGGAGTGCCCTGCCGGACCTGCAGACTCAGGGGAACTGACATGGGCTCCCCATTTCTTTTCATGTCACAATTAAAGCATCGAAACATTACAAAACGTTGCCAACTTCTCTCTGAAGCATTTTTACCAATTAATATTCCACCAGCAGCAATGTGTAAGAGTCGCTGTCTACCTTCACCAACACTGAGAACTGTTAAATTTTTGTTCACCAGACTGTGAAGTGGTATCTTGAATGCTGTGTACACGGGTGTTATATTACTCCTATCTTCTGGCATATCAGAAACAGTATATGATAAATTATTTAAAATAATTCCATTTTTTAAATGGCAGTTTAACGCACACACCCAAAAGAGAGAAGCAGAAGAAGAAAAGGAGGAGGAGGGAAAGAAAGGGGGGAAAGGAAGAAGGCTATAACTCAGAACAAAGCACAGCCCTTCCCAAGAAAGTGCAGCTGGCCTCTTTGCCCTGACATGTATGTGGACTACACTCTAATAACCACAGGCCAGCCTCAAAGGACTGGCAACCAAGGCTACACTATCACACATTATAAATTCTCACTATAAATTCATAACAATTGATTCATTTTGCAGATAAGCAACTGAGGCTTAAAAGGATGAAGTGACATTCAACTAAGTGGCCAGACCTGATCCCAAAGCCATACTTCCCCCAATTTGCCACGCAGGGGTTGAAGCAAGGGAGGCGGGCGTCATCTCTAAGAAAAAGGTAGGCCACATGAGGAGAAAGCCCAGCCAGAGGAAAGCTGTTTTCACTCAGTCATCGGAACATGGTGCAACATGTAAAGAAGACAGGAGCTCAAGAGAAGGTATGTGTTTTCCCACTAAGCATTTCCAGCATCCTTGGCATCTTCTCAAGTTTCACCTGCAGGGCTTGAAGTAAGGGGCTCTGTCTCTAGAGACCTTGGTCTCCCAGAAGCCGTCCATGTGCTAGTCGCTCTAGGTAGGGGGTTCACTCAATCCTAAGAGCAAAGCGTTACTACCCATTAGACAGATGAGGAGACAGAGGCTCAGGGAGGTTTAGTAACTGGACCTCTGTTTTGAAGCCAGTTGAATGAGTGACAGGACCAGGATTCAAACTCAGGTCAGCCTGCTTCTCAAAGTCACCCAGCCTTTCCCCCACCCTCATTACCTGTGGCCGGGAAAAGGATGGCCTGGGAGACATCCTCCTCCTCCTCTGGTTTGGAGCCCCTGCGCATGAAGCCCCCTGCAGTGTGTCTTCGGGGCAGCCGCCTGCCTCCAGGAACCTCACCTTCCCCTGTCACTGCTGGGGGACCCAAGGCATCCAGGAATAGGGCCTTCACCTTGGCCAGGACAAGCTCCCGGTCCAGCTCCATCCCGTGGCAGCCATGACCCCCCTGTGGGGCCAACAGCAAAAGGAGCAGCAGAGGTAGCGGGGGCACCATAGCTCACCTGGCCTTGCCAACAGGGAGCCCACACCCTGCCCTGTGCCCCTTCTGCCAGGGTCTGCCCAGAGCCTCCCCACTCTCCGCTGCCCATGCCACCACCCGCCCTCTTCTACTCTCCTCACCCTGGTCTCCCTCAGTCCTTCCCACGCCCTGCAGTCCCAGTTGCCCCTACCCATGGCATTGAGACCTCCTATCTCTGACGCAGATGTCTGTGGCCCTGAGCCTTATCTCCCACTTTCGCCAAGAATGTGGGGGAGGGGGCGTTCACCCCAAGTGACCTGACCCACACATACAAGCATTTGCCTTTTCCCTACACACACAAGCGCGTGCACACCCGCAGCGTCTCACGTGCCAGCACCCAACAGAGACGATATCAGGTGGGACAGGAGCCAGGCCGCTGAGGTTGGCCAGCTTCTCAAAGTGTCATTTGTCCGAAAGACAGAATGTACCAGCCCCCTCAGACCTTCTGGGGCCCCTTCAATCAAGCAGCTGCTGGGCCAGAGTGGGGGATGGGCCGAGGCTAGAACTGGGGCTCTGGTGGGGGGCAGGTGGTCCCTGCCTTCTCTATACTTAGCCTAGAAGAGCCGACTGGGCTCCTGTCCTCCAGCTGTGTCATCAGAGAATATTTTTGGGATTGGCAGCTGCTGGCGCCTCTGCCAGCCAGGCCCAGGCCTCGCGGTCGGTCGGAGACCTGGCGGCTGGAAGTGGGTGGGAGGAGGGGAGAGAGGCCAGGGCTGTGGGAGGGGGCTGGGGAGAGAGGCTCCCGGAGCAGGAAGCCAGGCCGCGGCCAGGGAGACGGCGGGGCCCCTCGCAGGAAAGGCAAACAGGAAGTCTGCCCCTGAGCTCCGGGCTGCGGGCCCGGGAATCTCCGCCGCTCCGCCGAGCTGCAGCTCCGCGCCGAGGGTAAGAAGGCGAGCGGGGAAAAGGCGGCCGGGGAGAGCTCCCCAGTGCGCACACCCCCGGCACCCCGCCGCGCGCCCTTCCCCCACGCCGCGGCGCCCCATCCGCACCAGCCGCGATGAAGGCGGGCTCCGGGGACCAGGGGAGCCCCCCGTGCTTCCTGCGCTTCCCGCGGCCCGTGCGGGTGGTGAGCGGCGCGGAGGCCGAGCTCAAGTGCGTGGTGCTGGGGGAGCCGCCGCCCACTGTCGTGTGGGAGAAGGGCGGGCAGCCGCTGGCCGCCTCGGACCGCCTGAGTTTCCCTGCGGACGGCGCCGAGCACGGCCTGCTGCTGAGCCCCGCGCTGCCC